CACCAAAAAAACCCAAAAAAAACCTAATAAAAAGCTTTATTACTCCACAACATGAGAAAACTTCACTGTAAATTTTTTTTCAGGTAAACTTACTTTGCAGTGAATACTTCAGTTACGCTGTATTTTCAAACCAAAAGAGGGCACTGTCCCTCCAGGATTAAAGGACACAAAGACTGCTGTAYTTCAAAATTTGTCTCTTTTTAAACCCCTTTAAATATATCAGTAGGTCTAATCAAATGACCTAAACAAAACACATTTCTCCCTGCAGATTTATCTTCTGTGTATCCTTAGATCTTCATGACTTCAACAGTATTACCATTAGACTAAATAAGCAAAATGCTTTGAGTACCTACAAAGCTTTGATAATCCAAAGTGAGAACCAATTTATTTTGCTGGAAAAAGGGACAGTCAGTATCTTGCAATATCAGATTCAGTCTCTGAGAATAATGTAGCATTTTCCAATAACTGAGAGAGATTGATAMAATTACCAGCTTTAGACTCATGAAAAAAAAAATAGGAGAAATTATTAACAATGTTATTGGATAAAACTGTGACTGATTTGAACAATCAGTGAACTAACACTTAAAAATCAGAAATTGTGTTAGATATAATGGACTTCAGTGAAATCTTCCAAATTTTAAATTGTTTTAACAGGSACTTTACTTTCTTAATATGCTGCCTGCTGCCTTTCATGAATACCTACTATCCAAAATTTGCCTGATTATGCTCTTCCATTTCTAAAATTCTTCCTATTCAAGTTTCCCAAGAGTGATTTAAAGCCCAGTTCCTTCCTTTTCACCACCTACTTTTAAACATAGATGCAGATACTGGAAGTGAAACTGTATCATTTAACTACAGTCAGGCACAAAATGAAACAGAGGCTTATCCGAAGTGGCACTTCAAAGGAAGAGTCACTAGTTATTGTAAGTGAAAACAAAAACTAACGGCTCCTTGGCTGGCAAAACACATTCCCCATGGAGCAATCCCTCTGCATCCACTATAATTTCTTTTAAGGTTTTGTACTTTTATTGGCACTGAAAAGACCCGAAGCAGTGTTTATCTCTCTTGATTTATATCTACACACAGGGGGTTTTATTCCATTCTATCATTTCTTTGAACTTTAGAACCTCCTCATTGAAAACAACTGAACTTTTATCTTTCACAAATGATGAATGCCAGATCTTTTTCCTTCTACACATATAATGTTTCTATATTAATTTCACATCACTGTTTCTTAGAAGTCTCACATGCTCATTAACTTAAACTTACATAGCCAGCAATTTTCTTATTTTTATTACTCAGACAAAATAAGTTATACTTTTAAATGCACTCTGCTAATTTGTGTTCATGTTTTATTTACTGCACAGACAGGTGGACTACATGGTAAAATGGAAGAAGAAACATTAGATACAGTGTCAGACTACATTCTGTGTTTCACTTAGATGATGACTACACRTTACATAGCAGTTTATGATCTGTTCCACTGAATATGATTACCTCCACCTGGATATTTCTTTGCTCGTTCCTCAAAGAACCATTCACCAGCCTTCACTTTCACATCTCTGAAAAACAATCAAAAGAGATTTGAATCGAAATGTTTGCAAGTGCATTTCTTCAAGTGCTCGGTAACCATGTACCAATCCAACATTCTTTCTCAATCCTACCATAMAACTAAGATTTCATGACTACTCAATCCATTGACTGGTTTTGCTGCACAACAGTTTCATGGCCCATCTCTCCATTTTGTGGAGACTACCATCAGTTATATTGAGGTCTTACAAAGGCAGCAGGAYTCACAGGACCAGAAAAGTAATGATTAACAAGTGCAAAATTAGATGAGATTTAAATAGCTYTGTCAAGATCAGATTTTCAGCAAATCTTACTCTTGCTGAAGTCTGCAATTYGAACTCACCCATTATTAAAGAGACTAAAAAAAAAAATTAACTAAGGATAGGATTCTCTRGATTCTTCAGCCTTCAAATTCTTACCTATCTTATTAATTTTTATATGACATATATAGTATCTGCCTTCTTTGTGAATTTTGTGATGCTTATTATAAGATGAAATCTCACTGCAAAAATTTCCTCAGGGCAGGCACTGCTAAACTTTATTCTCTATCYAGTAGTTAATTTTCTTTCTATAAAATTAATCTCTTTATTATCATTGCCTCTGCAAAAATTGCTTGAAACTCRAAACAGCATACAAACAGTAAATTCATGTAGGGCCTACTTTCCTTAGAAGGCAGAATCTCTAAACACAGGAGCTATAGTGATACCCACCAATGGTCACACAATCAAAACCCTTGGGTCTGCTATTTCATACCTCATCGTATTCTATGCCAAAACAGATAAACCATAGATAGGATGCTTTTTGTTCTTGCTGTGGCTTGATTTTAAAGCCTTTACGCATTTACATTAATTGCTTTTAAGTAGCAGTGCAGAATATTAAAAAAAAAAAAAAAACAAACAAAAAACTACCCTTGTAGACTAAAATTTATTTTCATACCTAATCATAGACCCTACACATAACCAAACACAGAGGAGTTAGAAAAATAGGTTTAAATAACTTTAAGACAGGATACTTATTTTGGAAGGAGATCTATTAAATAATAAATGTCTGAAATCTCTGTCTACACTGGATCTTCAAGGGCTTTGCATTTGCAGTGCCTTGATTTTCAATGTTAGCCTTCCCTGTATTTAGTCCCACTACTCCCTGGTTATCTTCCAGAGTTCAATCTCCAGTTCTGCACAGATTCATGTGATAATTAAATATACCCAGAGAAGTTTTTGGACTCCATTCCTGTAGATGTTCAAAGCCAGAGTGAATGGGACTCTGAGCAATTGCTCTAGTGGAAGGTGTCTCTGCCATGGCAGGGTGGGTGGAACCAGATGATCTTTAAGGTCCCTTCCAACCCAAACTATTCTATGATAATTAGACTATGCACAGAATAAAAAAAAAAAAAATCTGAAACTAACTTTAAAAAAAAATAAAGAGTGTAGTGAGTTAAGATATAACCAAAAGTATGAAACAAAKCTGATAAAGAAACTTTGTCAGGTAAAACAGACCAAACTCCTCCAAAGCAAATGTCTTTCCACACTCCTAGAAGACAGGATTCCTTTAAAAAAAAACAGACTATACCAACCCAATTCACATGAGAAAATGCCTCTTCCAGGTGAAAGATATAAACTTTGTCAGTTCACAAGGCTTGCAAAAGTTCTTATTTTGTAAGAAATAAAAAGTTTGCCCATCCCTGCAYGCTCTTTCACTGAGATGTTTAAGGACATTCCTTACAAACATGACTCAGTATCTAGGGGAGAACCTCAGTAGTGTTGCTGTTTGGTTCAGGAAAAAATTACTGTAGTGATAAACAGAACTCAAAATTACAGTAACTTCGGTCTTGAAAATCACCTCTTGCCTTTCTTAGACATCCTATTTTCCCCTCAAGAGGATAAACAAAATGTCTTGAGTAGCAATTACTACATTGCTGCACCCCCTACCCTTCTTGAGATTTGTAGCTTTGATGTAAAGCTCACTGAAGGCAAGGGAAGAAGTCTGACTGAATTTAATTGACTTGACTTTACAACTTAAGATCAAATGTGCTCTCTCTCCACTATAAAGAGAAATTCAATGACAGCTGACATATCCATCTGCATTTACAAGATCAAAAAAGATAATTTCCTCAAGGAAAAGTAAAAAGGTCTTTTMATTAATCTAAATAATGTTTTCCTGKCTTTACCATTAAATATCTGTACAAGCTTATGAAATAATTAAGGGTGTGCACYTAATTGCACACACAAGGCAGCTTAACAAACAACCACTCTCTATAGGGGATTTCCACTGTGGCCACCAAGTAACTGTAAACTAGGTTAAAACAAGAGGAAGTGGAGAGGGGTATCTAGAGGAGGATGTAGAAAGTTAACTTTTTAATTTTTAGTTTAGTGCATATAGTTTGAAATACTGCAAAACACATGCACCAAAGTCTGGTAAGTGTTTTGTATCAAGCATTAATAAAGCTGATCTACCTATTTTGCACATTAGTTGATAAATAACTTTAAGATTCAGAAAATATCRTGTTAGTGATAGTTTATAACTCTCTTCCAAAGGCTAAAAAAATTACTTCAAGCTAGTACAAATTTGTTTAACTTGAGACCAATACCCTACCTTATATTTCYCTCTATTTTAATCCCATTTTGGCAYCTGCCAAGGGCACCGAGTGGTGGATTAATCTTGTGTTCGCATGAAGTTAACCTCCAAATCTTCATCTGTTGTACAGGGATATTCATCACCCAGCAAAGATTTTGAATAATTTCCAAAATTATCATGCTTTGCCTACATACTATTTTCCATCAAATGTGGAAATATATCTAAACCATTTTGCTTAGAAAGATTGTAATGAATAGAATGGACTATGAAGGAATATTTTGATATTAAAAATAGTAYCAATACAGTAAAAGAAAAATTGTTTCCTGCATCCTCAAATACAAAACAAATCTGACATAGTAAAAGAAAAAAAACCAACAAATTCAAAGTAAACAAATTTGGACTTCTGAACATATTTGAACAAATCCTAATAATGCTATCATTTGGTTTAAAACTTTACTTCAAATTACTCATCAATCCAGGCTCCTCATTCCTGTGGTAAGAGGCAGAAAATAGTAATTAGAAAATTGTCAAGAAATTGTCTATACTACATTGAAGTACAGCACCTTTACAGCAATTTGTGAGGATGCACTGGTTCAATACAAGTCAGAGAAAGAYGTTCTCTCTATGGCCCAGAAACTCATGACTGTTCCTATGCTTTGCTAYCATCTTTGTCACACTCAGCACCTCTGACCTACCCTGACAATACATTTTGCTAAGCACAGGAAGTTAAATACCAACAATGTGATGTACAATACAAAGTTTCCATCCATTTCAGTGTTACCAGGGCTTCAGCCAACATTTTCATTACACTAGAGGCTTTGATTCATTAACTGTTTAAGCAACAGATACACAAAACCAGTGGACATCCATTGGATGACTAGTTTAAGCCAGCAAAATTCCTTACCCATGAGCAAAACAAATGGTGCATTTCCAAAGGCCGGGGTTGAGGCAGACACGGCACTCGGAGCACACCCGATGGCTGCATCCATTGCACACGGCTCCTCTGTTCATCAACAGCCCCAGTGATTTCTGACAGCGAGCACAACATCTCTCCTGGTAGTCATGCCTCACATTTTTTGCCCCTTTCCAACGAAGTTGCTGCAGCTGCAGTTTCATTTTTCTAATCCCACAGGTAAAAAGAAAAGAAAAAAAAAAAAAAAGAAAGAAAAAAAGAAAGAAAAAAATTACATAGGACAAAATCCTCATGTAAAGCACAAGGTTATACACTGGTTGTGCAATGCCATTACTAGTGGGATATATGTCCTCAAGTGTGACCTCCGTTGAGCCCTGTTTGAAGACATCCACACACAGCATTTTTGGATTATGAATGTGTGACCAGAACCGCACATGCTAACAGAAAAATAGCTTAGTATAAACGGGATTTTGTTGATTTCAGGCCCACTCAGGGCAGGGCCTGAAATATTGTATGCTAKTGATTATGCATTCACTTACAAAAACTGAGACTAAATGGTGCTCCCTTCTATTTGATTTTTTTACCATATTTATCCAAGAATCAATCATTCTACCAAATTTAAAAAAAAAAATCATAACAAATGCATCATCTGAAAGTTAAAAAAWCAAACCAAAACAACACACCAGCCCAAAATATCAAAACCTCTCCTGGTCATTAACTTTGCCTCCGTTGCATGTACGAGTAATCAACRTCTGTTTTTAATTGCTAGTAACATCATCAGCAGTTAAAAGGGATCTCCTAACCCATTCAGACTCTTTATATAACCCTTCACATAATTATTATTGTAAACAAACAAAAAAAAACCCCCACACACCAAAAAAAACACAACTAAAAATAAAACAACACCAAAAAACCCCAAACAACAACAAAAAACAAACACACCAACCAAAAAAAACACACACCAAAAAAACTCCATGAAAACATGAATAGGGGAACAGCAGATACCTTATTCTTTCCTCCTCTGTTTTCCTCACCATTTGGTCACGGTACAGGACTTCCAGAACAGCCTCCCGTTCCAATTCCTTAAGGAAGTTCAGATTAAAYTCACAGGCCATTTTTGCTAAATTTCACTGTTTCACTTGTTTCATAGACTCCTGTCCTCTGTGTTCTACAACATCCAGAATGGTTGTCTGGGTGCTTCTTAAGTGCTTGGGCTGGTACTTGACTGGTGAAATGCTTCACTGTGTCATACCCATGAAAAGAAAAGGAACTGTGTCTGTCTCTGGACAGATCATCACTTAAGTGCCTCTGCTACCCAAGTTATCAAGGTCACAGCAGTCTTGACTTTTTCAGGTCTTTTAACTTCCTTTTCTTTTTTCCGCTGACAGTGGTTCCGAAAGAGATGAGAGCTTGAAGCAATGTCTCAGATTGGGCTTGAATTGGCACCAGATGGATGGACAATTGTCAAGAGATGATGTAAAGGAGTGGCAGAAATGGTTTGGGTTTCTTTATTTGGTGTTGTAGGTTTGGGACTTCTGGGCCTAGTGAAAAAAAAAAAAAAAAAAGTCTTCTCACCTCTTCAAGGTACTTCAAATAATACGTGAAGAACACATCTTGCTACACTCAAAACTTTCATGCAGTACTTCAGATGCAGGAGAGGTGTTAAGACAATCCTGGTTTTCAGAGAGTCTCACCATRTTGTCCATGAATACTCAGGCACATACCTTCATTTTTTTTGTACAGTCAACATAAAACAATCAATAAAAAAGATTAAGTTGGTTTTGAACACAAGCTACAAGTCCTATGAATGTCATACTGCTTGAGACAAAATTTTTGAGAAAAAATATCCCTTTTTAATCTTAGTTTATTGAAAAGACAAAGACATCACAAGACTAATAGGAAAGACAACCTCTAAGTGACTTCCATCAATTACCTACGTCTGTTAAGCCTAGGTAAWYAGTTTGATACCAAATAGTGCTATTRTCTTTCCTAATACACAGAAACACCAAAAAGTTAATATACACATTTTTTCCAGCTCAGTGCACTAACAATTTTGGCCCCAAACCAATAAAATTAATGTACAAATACATGAGAAGTATAAAATTAAAACAGAATCACAACTGTAGTTTAGATAGATTCTGTGACCTTCACTTTTGCAAAACCCCCACCAAAATATAAAATTATTTTAATATACTTTGCAGCAAAGTCAAGAAAGAAAATGATCATTCAACCTAAACCAGCTTACACAGCACATTTGTTTTCAACATTACTGCCTAATGTTTAGTGCATATTACTAGAAATGTAWGACAATTCCATTTATGGTAAACCAATATGAAAAGTGTAGATATGAAAACTGGTTAAGCATTTCAAACTTAGCCTGAACTGAAGGCACACAGTTAGGTTCTTGGCAGGAGGTGTAGACAACAGGACAGAAGGGTAAAGCTTTCCCAATGCAGTTACTGATGCTTCAAACCAACCCCACTCAAACAAAAAAAAAAACAAAAAAAAAACCAAACCCTCAAAAACACCCACTAAAACTTCAGATATAATGACAAYGTATTTTTGTCAGTGTGTCAGTGCATGGAATTACTTTACATATAGCTAGCCCAAATCAAGTCACTTAATTTTCCACCAAAAATAGCAGAGGGTGAATATGTGCATTCATAAACAGGTTGCATTCCATTCATGTATGGGTTTTTCTTTTGTGAAACCCTTCAACAGACACCAAAGGCACAAAACATTTCATAGAAGCTTTGTTCAAGAAGAAAAAAATTAGTTTCCTGTGGAAACAAATGAGACAGAGATAGGCATAATCATGTTTTATTTCCTTAACAACGGCAATTTCACAGGAAATTACTCATTTGAAACATTAAAAGCCTGACAATTTTTTTTTAACACAATATATGTCATTTTCAAAGACCCCTGTATCCTTTACCTGCTTTCATCTTTTACCTTATGAACASCTCCTGGGATGGATGAGCATGTTTAAAGCCACCAACTCAATTTAAGTCAACACAATCTAAAGTGCAGTCAGAACAAACTCTGAGAGCTCTGCCCACACAGGATAGCAAAACACCCATTACAGGGCAACCTACATTTGTCATAAACTCCTAAGACTTTGGCCATGTCTAGAACGTCATCAGAAAATCTCACTAAAGCACCACTAAAAACTAGCAAGTGCATGACAGTCAATACTAAGTGCATCCAATAAAACTGCTCTAGTGATCTTACAGAAATGTCTTACAGAGCTATTAAGAACATGCCACCGTAAAACAGTTACTAAGAGCAACACCTGCAGTTAAGCACAGAAAGAGTTGCTATTTAATGTCTCTGAAATTCTTTCAAAAAGGACTATCTCTCTTGTTCACAGAAGAGCACAAAATTTTCTATACTATAGAAAATTTCTATATTTTCTATCAAGCCTGTTTGGGCAAATGGGTTTCAGATGACACACTTCAAACCAGCTACATTTCAAACGCTATTCCAAGCGATAAATGATAAGTACTGAATCTAATGCCAACAGTAGAATAGCAGGGTGCYAACAGGAACAAGGTTGGAAAGGCTAGGATCATCTCCTGGTACAAGCAACAGAACAAACCTACCGCAGAGCAAAGGGCAATGGGGCCCTCCATCCTACAGTATCTGCACTATGCAGAGAGGGGAAAAGCCACCCATGACTCTCTCACTATTGAGCAATATCATCACACTCTGCAGACAGTAAAGCTTAAAGTAACACCACACAGCCACCAGCTATAGCAATAKTGCACCTGAACATCCCTGCAGTTGTTTTTTTAACGGTCATAGGTTTCAACTCTGACAATCATTGTGTTCTGTCAATATATCTTGCACACCCAAAGAAAAAGCTACCTCATCATTAAGCTAGATTTTGAGTTAAGAAAAAATAAAGTATTGCAAAATATCACAACCTCCAAAATGGAAGATAGTCCTTGGCCCCGCAACAAAATTGAACTTGCAATCATTTCAGAGAGATGTTAAAATTGGATTGAAAAGCTCTCTACCATTGTGAAATAACTTTTTTCTTACACCAAAGCTGTCTGCACTAGAGTAATTTTTTGGCAGTAATGAAGAAGTGYTTCCAGTAATGACCCTCTTTGACAGGAAAAAAAATCTCCAGAGATGCCCTCCTTTCATGTTTACCCACTGAATCCAGCTAGTTAGCTGTTCGACAAAGTCAGCTAACATCAAAGCTGAGAATCTTCTATGTAAAACCAAAAGTAGCAGCAACTCCTTTAGTAAATACCACAACACTTCTTTTTCAGCACCGAGGTCACATAAAATATTCTGTTCAAGCATTATTTTAAATTATGTAATTTTCATTATTTACTACTACATTTTGTATTTAAATTAATGGAGCGTCATGCACCATGCAGATGGATAAGTAACTTCTTGAAAATATCATAAGAAATCCCACAGCCATTGTAAGCGAGAAGGGCTGACCAATGTGGCTATGCCTTAGGAGAGAGAGACRTGCATGCACAGAGTGCAACCTCAAAAAAAAAAAACATGCTTTTTTTCTATGAGGGTAAAATAGTATGTAGTTATGTTGCTRAAGATGAAACAAAAGGCCTACCTAACAATTAGATTAAGTTTGCAAAAATAGCTTCTTTTCTAATCATTTAAATTTTAAAATGCCTGACTTAGCAAGCTTTTCCTCAAAGCAATTTTACATGTAATGTATTATTGATCTCTGTTCAGATCCTTAAGCATTAGTAAAATAATGACAATTAAATAATTTTAAATTAACAGATCTTCTAAATCACAGTCTTCATTGACTTGAGATAATTAGATTACCCCATCCATTAGCCCAGAAGATGGATGCAATACATCAGTAGTGAGGAACAGATTAAGAAAGTTCAGAGTAAAACCAGTCTCAAGAGCTACTGCAATTTGTGGCTATYTTCTATTCTGTTGAGACCAATCACATAAATTCATTCTTAGTGAAGAAAATTAKAAGTGTTGTTTTGTACTACCTGGCTGCAACAGTTTAATTTTCAYATCCCTGCATGTGCACATGAAAATTATTCAAATTCTTTGATAATGGTTTACCAAAATTAAGTCTGTGATATTAGTAACATCCACCTCTAGAACTAAGAGTTAAAATAAAACCAAATAACTAAACTCAACACAAACAATTAAGTTGCAGGTGTGGTTTTTCCATTAAATCCTTTCCASTTTGAAAAACACCATGCCAGTAAGTAAAAATGCCTCCCCCTGTGCTATGTCATAAGGAATAGAGTAAAATKATGTCCTTACCTCTTCAGCAGCCASTAAAGAGACACCAGGAAGTAAACTGCTTATAAAAGATGAGCAGCACTCTCATTATTTAATTACCTTCCCTTAAAGAAAACTGGTGGCTGTTCTCCACCCCCTTTCCTTCCTTTGGGCACYGATACTGCTGATGTGTGCTCAGAGGAGCACCCCAAAACAGCTAAAAGCAAATGCACTCAACAAAGAGCTCTAGCGTTACAACAGCTTTGGCCAGGTCTCTGGGGTTTTTTTACCAGTAACAAGCAAAGAAAAGGTATTTTTTAATCTAACATTAAAAGGAGACTCAGCACAAGGGACTACAGAAGCTGGCTGATAAACCAAAATATGCTTAATCTTCAAGCCACACACAGGAAGAGATGTGGCTTTGAGTTCTATATAGTTTCTTTTTCTGACACCATAAATTCGAAAATGCTTCTAACCTCAATGTCCCCAGGACTTGCACAGAAAGCTTTGTGTCATTAACAGTTCTTTCCTGGAAACAAAAGAGTTTTCTATTTAGGTCTGCATGATAAAGCAATTGGTATAGATAAAGATTCAAGAGAATGCAGATTTTATGCATTTACCAAAAAAAAAGAAAGCTATTTTACCTCACAACTGGAAATCTGACCTCAGGTAACAACTGGAAGTTAAAACATTGTTCAGATTGGGTATCCCACATCAGTCTATTACAGAATTCAAGTAATGAAGTTCAAAATTACAYCCCAATTATTTCTAAGCCTGGAGRGAGGAGCAGGGTGGGAAGAAGAGGCTATTCTTACAGGTCAATATYCTTTCTTGTTCCCAGCTCTTCCAAACTGTGTAAACAACACAGAAGCCCTTCTTAACTGTTTCAGGTGTTTTAAGATTCCTGATTTCTAGTTAAAATTAAACAAAGTACAGTAATACTATTCACCTGTCAAAGTCTAAGAACTTGCTTTTTATAACCTCATTAAATTAAATAGGTTCAAACATTTCCACCTGTGTATGTTAACTTTGATCACCTTTCCAAGTGCATCATGGACAAGAAAGCAATTGCTGGGGGAAAACAGATATTCACGTCTGCACCACATTTGGATAATTTGGGATTTAATTTCAGGCAAAACTTTAAGWGACTAAGAGACCAGAAGTAGCCTGAGGATTTTAACTACCCACGGTGACAGATAAGTTGTATCCCAAATCCAGGCTGAGGAACATTAACACCACCATCAGCTTTCCCTTAATATTTAATCAAAGCCTTAATTGCCACATATTTAACTCATTGTATTTTTCC